TTACTGTTGAACTAACTAGATGCAACCGCCAATTCTAGTCTAATAATTTCTTTTCTAGTACTTCTCGCTTCTGGAACACTTTCCCATTTCTTGCTTCCCTGTCAACTACAGTCTTCATCTTTTGTCTTCTTGAACCAAGTTTCTTCATTGTTATTCTCCACACTTCTCAGTAAAGTGCCATTCTCTTTCACTCCCTGGAACCTCCAGACTCACAGTGGCTGTCCTTGTCACCCGGCTTTTTAAAAAAAAAGAACCTGGAGCTTTAGACTTCGTATATTTTATCATATATATATATATATATATATATATATATATATATATATATATATATATATATATATAAGTCTTGACATCAAGAAAATGATTAGAAATTGAAAGGATTATTATAAAATAATTGGACATAGTCTGTTTATGTTATTCAATGGAACATGTTTGAAAGAATTATGCTGCATATATATATATATATATATATATATATATATATATATATATATGGTCTGATGTTCCTACTACTTATCTCGAGATTCTTGACAAAATTCAAAGTGTCTGTAATATAATTAACCTGACATGGCAACTTGACTTTAAACTTCGTATATTTATCATATTTTATCATTCATATATATATATATATATATATATATAAGTCTTGACATCATGAAAATGATTAGGAAATAGAAAGGATTATTATAAAAATAATTGAACATAATCTGTCTATATTATTCAATTATTATGGAAAAATGTTTTTCCAAATATACATTAACACATTTATATTTGTGTGTGTATGTTTGTATAGAAGGGAGGGGGTGGATATACGCATATGTGTTTGTCATATATTCATTAATTAATAGATGGAATATTAATGAAAGCTCGGTTCTTTTATAGTGTGTAGAATCCGGGCGCCTTTCATATCTTTCTTGCCCTTAAAGACTTCCTTTCAGAATACTGGTTAAAAGGAAATCCGCGGAAGATAAATGATCTTGGAGGACGCATTAAAACATCCGGGCTCTAACGATTTGATCTTTTCTTTGGTTTATTTTACTGAGTTCAGTTTACATCGTTATTCTGAAAAAAACCCAAAAAAAACAAAGTAAAAAAAACAAACAAAAAAAAAACGAAAACAACGACCCCACCCCAATACAAATAAACATAAGCACATTTTATTGATCAATAATGGAGACATATATCTCCAAACCAGAGCTACTTCGACGAGGTGTATTGGCTAGTAATTTGTCTCGCTAGATAAATTACGATCGAGTAGTGAGTTAGATCCACACAGGGTGCTCCACACTTTCGACCTCTTGCTGCATCTAAGCTACGCTTCGAAAATACATTATTGACATTATTCGGACTATTTTACTCATCTTTGTCGCCATATTTATTACAACGGTTCCGGCCTTCTTCAGGTGGTTGCAATGTCGAACTGAACCCTTTATTTCGCTCACTGGGGTAGACTATTCTAGTTCCACGTGCCATGTTAATGGATGCCAGTTATCAGTTATCTCCTGTTAATTTCCCTCTGAAAGTACTGCACTGCCTTAGCAGGGTTTTGAACTCACACGCTTTGGGTCCTATCACTGGATCTAACTAACGCCTTTATCCACTGTGCCATGTGTCCTTGAGTTCACTAATGCCAACCTAATTACAAAAGAACACAATTATTTAAGGAGAAAATACATTGAAAATTTAATAATAACATTATTACCAACTATGAACACCTAAAACATTACATTACATGGCCACCTTTCTTTGAATCTATTCTTAAAGAATCTAACTTATATCTAACTAATACAACGAATACATTCTTAAGAAGGTCAGCAATAAATTAGAATTTTGTGACACCCTGCTGCGCAGGTTGACTGCACAAAGGGGAAGACGGAACTCCCACTAGACAGACACACAATTACGAATACACTTTACAATCGGTTGCCTACTTAGACATACAAGAACCTTGACAAACCTACATACACATAGTTTTAAGACACGTGACACGTATCTGACCAATGAGAAGATAATTGAAAATACCAGTGTTTCTGTCTTTTTATCTGTTTTCTCTCAATCTCTGACGAAGATTTAGTAAAAGTGAAACATGTAAAATTGATATACATTCATTTTTGTTCTTTATTTTATCATAAATATATAAATATATTTTGAAAGATTTAAATTTTTATATATTCTTTTTATAGATATAAATATTTAAGTAAATGCTCTGTTTATAATAAACAGTATTAATAATTTATCGGCCTGAACGTCCGAGAAATTTTCATAGAAATTATTCGTTCTACGACAAGAATCGAACCTGCATCCTATACGAAACCCTCATATAGTCTGATGTGCCTTAACCGATTGGGCCACAGAGGATCGTTCGGTTAGCTAGGCCGATTTTACTGCTTTTAAACTACAATCTTCCATGATTCTCTCACGTACATTTATATCTCCTAATGTAAACAAATGACGTCACACATTATGAACATTAAATGTTATTAATAATGTTTATTATAAAGAGAGCATTTGCTTAAATATTTGTATCTATAAAAAAAAAATGTATAAACATAAAATTGTCTTAAAATAATTGTCGGACTTTGTCCATTTCATAATATATATATATATATATATATATATATATATATATATATATATATATATATATTATTACTATAAACATTATTTTAGAAGGTACAAGCATTTGAGTTTCTATTTTATCTATGTATTTTTAATTTTCTTAGTGGAATTAATAATAAACAGCCTTGTTTTCCTATCCCCTGGTTCACACCCATTCCCCGTCTTTTTTAACGCCTCCGACTGGAATATAACATGGATAGTTTTTCTTTAGTAAGACTTGTTATTAATTTCATTGTTTAAGAAAATAGAAACCAGAATAATAAGAAATAATGTCGGCTAAAAGTCCTTTCATATATATATATATATATATATATATATATATATATATATATATATATATATATATATATATGGGTAGCAAAAAGTATTTAACACATTGGTTTTTTTCTTACATATCTCAAAAAATAACAGATCAATTTCAACGAAACTTATAGGAAATATTTAAACGAACATTGTCGATCAAAACATAGAAGGAAAATTTAAAACCATTGTTTTGAGAAATATTTATTAACAATAAATAAAATAACCCATATGCAAAAGTATTTAACACCAATGCAAATATTATGCTAGAAGAGACGTGTCGTCATGATTCCTACTCATATTGATATGATGTGATATGTCGACCAATGACAGCACTGCACGACACTTAACTGGCTATTAGATAACAGCTCTGAGACACTACAGCGATTCTGTTGCCACTACTGCAAGAAAATGGTGAAAACAAAAGAATTGTCGAACGACCACTCCTTTGAATGTTTTCAATAGTATCGAATTTTTTTCCATTTTCGAACAACAGCACCAACTGTACTCACAAGCAAATCTAAATCTTGAGCGATTTTTCTATATCCCTTACCATCTTTGTGATTCTTTATGATCTTTTTGCACATGTGTGTACATATATATATATATATATATATATATATATATATATATATTACGCTATCGTCATTTCGATCGAGCACTATTGCGAAACAGGTAATTCCGAAACAGTAGCCATCACCGCTATTAATGCACCGCTCTTCATTAATACACACACACACACATGCGCACACACACACACACACACACACACACACACACACACATATATATATATATATATGTGTTTATGTGTGTGTGCCTGTTTCAACCCACCCCCCGAAAAAATGTGTACTTACTCTCTAATTACAATGAAGGCAATACTTAATGACTTTCAAACAATAGTTGAAATTAAGAAAAAATAATGGTTATTGACTTGCAAAGAATATTTACGGTTTAAATTAAATATAAAATTATATTCATGTTTATAAATATTTATACTGATGACGACGTCAAAAAGTGAGTATCAGTTTCAGGACACCGTACATACATATATATATATATATATATATATATATATATATATATATATATAATGGAACCTCAGTTCACGAATTTAATTCCTTCCTGAAGGCTGATCGCAAATCATAATTTTCTTAAACCGAAACTATTTTTCCAATAGGAATCAATGTAGAGAAACAATGTCACCGTACAATAAAATTGGAAAAAAAAAACAAAAAAAACAAAAAACGCACGGCACAACACACAAATGTACACAACGTGTCGGTCGACTCAGAAATTATTCCGTTCGGGTTAATTCGGTTCGCCAATCTTGTTGGAGAACCGAAATTTTGTTCAATAACCGAGGCATTTTCATCTCGAACTTTCTGTTCGAAAACCGATTTGTTCGACATGTGAGGCGTTCGAGAATCGAGGTTCCCATATATATATATATATATATATATATATATATATACATAT